TCAATTGTTCTTACATTCCTGATTTGGATCGGCCAAAGCGCATCATATAGCTTGGTCACCTGCTGGACAGATATGGGCTCGCAGATGCTGAACGGCGCCGAAGCCACTAGCTCTGCCATTCACACCAATTTCGACTGCGGTTGTACAACGAGTCTTATCACACTATGCAGCACCCCGCGCCATCGATGATATATGTAGTGCACCTGCTCATATTCATCATAGACATGCAACATGAACAAATGAAGAGAAAAAGGATGCTTATACGACCGTGCCGGCGTTCGAGGCGATACGTGGCCATAAGTCCGCCTGTGCGTGCATCAGTTAGATAGATAAATCATGAGGCAACCGCGAGGGACGTACACATTCTTTTGCGACGGGCCGGTAATGGCCGACCCCTTCATCTCGCCCTTGGGGTTGACGATGACGCCAGCATTGTCCTACGGGGGCGTGTCAGTTCGGCACCGAAGGCAAAGAGAAGCGGACGCGCCTCGAAGTACAGGAACACGCCGTCCCGCCGCCGCCACGCCTTGCGCTGCCGGACCACCACCGCGGGCATCGCTGTGCACACACCACCCGTCAGCAGCAGCTTCACAAACAACACCGTACGACGCACTCTTTTTGCGGAGCTCGGGCTTGCCCTTCTTGACGGACGCGACGACCATGTCGCCAACACCTGCGTCGGGCAGGCGATTCAGGTGCGCGCCGAAGCCGTAGGCTCGATGATGAAGAGGCTCTTCGCGCCGCTGTTGTCCGCACAGTTCATCACCGCGCCGACGGGCAGACCGAGGGTCATGCGGAATTTCGTGCCGGAGGCTCCTCCGCCTACGGGGCCGCACGAGGTGAGCACGGTGGGCCTGTTCGTTAGGGGGCGGGGGACATACCGCGGGCTGCCATTTTTTATGCTAGATGGGAGGGAGGGTGAGTGAGTAGAAAGTGGGCTGAATACACAGCCAAACAGGGTTTGCGGGTGCCGCGCTCGGCAAGGGCAGCTGTACAGTTCTTCGGCAGTTGCCGGATCGGTGAGCGACTCTAAAGGAAGACAGCGTGAAGATGACTCTCTCTGTCTGCAGCTGGGTATTTTCGCTGAGGGGGGGCTTCGGAGAGCTCCAGCTTAGCCGGCTGTTTTTGTAGACCAACGCGCCATCGAAAGGTCTCAAAATATGGCCGTCGGATTCTGGATTCGAGAAAGGTTTCGACGGCAATAAATTGCCAGCGTTTTTCTTTTCGTAGATTATGATATGTAGTTTGCTGTAAGCCTTGCAAATGCCACTCGGACAATCTCTTCCACATCATACAGAACAGGAATTCGTGTTACATTTTTGGCTTGTGCTTTTGTACATACAAATGTTTCCCATTGCTTACATACCTTTGATGTGTCCTCCATCTTACTGCCTCATGATCATCCTTGCTTATGCTGCGCAGATGTACGCTCGCTCGCTTACACCTTGGTCGTGTACACACCCAGGTTCGCGCGGAACTTGACCGCCTCGGCCGCGGACTTGCACTTGAGCGGCGCCACCGTCGGCGCGCCGACCGCCTTGGCGATGCGGTCCGAGAGGCCCTGGTCGACCGCGGCCCATACGGACACTGCGACGCAAATCAGCATTGGACGCAAGGGAGATACAACACCACGCGCGACTTACGCTGGCGCGCCTTGACCGCGGCGCTCTTGACGTTCTTGAAGTGGCCCGCGACATTCTGCACGTACGCCTCGCGCTGGGCGTCGTTCCACACCTTGCTCCACAGCGCGCGCGGCTGCTCAAAGTCGACTGTGGGGCGCTCGTCAGTGTGCTATCATCCAGGCGAGTAACAACACGACGCACGCTCGGTGACCTCACTCAGATCGCGGAACGCCGCGCCGACAAACGTCTCGTGCCGCGCCTCGCGCGCGAGGTCGCGTACGCCGCCCTCGAGCGTGCCCGGCGCGCCGGCGTACTGCAGCGGCACGATGCTGCTCTGGTAGTTGGGGCGCGCGCCCTGCGACACGAACGTCGCGGACCGTCGCGCTGGAAGTTGGCGACGGGCGCGACGGGCGCGTTGACGGGCAGCTGCTGGTAGTTGACGCCGAGGCGGTGGCGGTGTGTGTCCGGGTACGAGAACAGGCGCGACTGCAGCACGGGGTCCGCGGACGGCTCGACGTACGGCACGAGGTGCGAGGGGGAGAAGGCGGCCTGCTCGATCTCGGCAAAGTAGTTCTGCGGGTTCTCGTCGAGCACGAGCTTGCCGATTTTGCGGAGGGGGAAGTCGCCATGGGGCCAGACCTTGGTGAGGTCGAGGACGTTGTAGCGGAACTGCTCGGCCTGGGCAGGGGTCATGGTCTGGATGAAGACATCCCAGGTGGGGAAGTGGCCGTCCACGATGGTGTTGAAGAGGGACTCGGTGCCATAGTCGGGGTTCTCGCCGGCGAGGGTGCCGGCGGTTGCGTTGTCGAGGGTCTTGAAGCCGCCCTGGGCGCGGCAGTGGACCTGGACGTAGACGAAGGAGCCGTCCTTCTTGAACCACTTGAAGGTGTGGCCCGAGTAGCCGTGCTGGTTGTGGTAGCCGTCGGGGGTGCCGCGGTCGCTGAAGAGGATCATGATCTGGTGGATGGATTCGGGGTTCTGGCTGAGGTAGTCCCAGAACATGTCGGCATCCTTGAGGTGGGTCTGGGGGTCGCGCTTCTGGGTGTGGATAAAGTGGGGGAACTTTGCGGGGTCGCGGATGAAGAAAACGGGGGTGTTGTTGAAGACCCAGTCCCAGTTGCCCTCTTCGGTGCGGAGCTTGATGGCGAAGCCGCGGGGGTCGCGCGCAGTGTCGGCAGAGCCAGACTCGCCGCCGACGGTGGAGAAGCGGACGGTGGCCTTTGCCTTTTTGCCCTTGGAGCAGAGGAAAGGGTTGGAGGTGATGTCGCTGAGGTCCTCGGTGACCTGGAAGTAGCCGTGGGCGCCTGCTCCTTTAGCGTGGACCTAGACCAGGGTGTGAGAAGAGTCGGAGATGGGGTGGGTTGGGGGTGTACTCACGACACGCTCGGGGATGCGCTCACGGCAAAGTGGGCGAGGAGGTCGATGTGGTGGAAGTCTGGAGGTGGGTCAGTTGGCTTGGTGGGGGCGACGGGAAAGACAGTGTACCCTGGAGGAGGAGCGGGCCCAGAAGACCTATGCGTTGGGCGCCATAGGGCTCGGAGACGGGTGTACCGTTGGAGGTGGTGTACTTTGCGGACTCGGGGCCGAGGCTGAATACTTGCTTGGAGGGCATGCTGAAATCGGCTGATTGAGCAGTGGAAACGAGAATATTCGGTTGGGAGCGACACTTTATACCCCAGATCACGTTGTCCCATGTCGACTAAATCGCGTCGTGTGATTGGCTGCCGCGTAAGTCAGCGAAGGGTCGTATGACGCATTGCCTAGACTAAGTCTAATACTAGGCCCCCGGCTACTACCGGGTTGGTTTTCTACTTCCTCCCGGTCAGTACCGGTCAGTACACTCCAGGTTTTCGGGGGAAATCACGTTTGTAGACGAGGCTAGTCATTCCTAAACATGACTGTTAGGTTTAGGCCCTATGCAAGTGGGCTGCGCGCAAACCTAACATTCATGTTTGAACGTTTGAACAGCCGTTTAGGAATCCACGGCCCAAAAAATTCCGCGCTTCCCGCGATTTACTCTATGCTGGACTAGGTTCCCCAACTCAGTTGTTTTTCTCTATATCCCGGAAGCTTAAGGTTAAGGGTCATTTCGGGCCCTAGTTTTACTCAATCTCGGACAATGTGACATGGTAGTTTCCGGGGGCCTCCTGGGCTCCGACTTCTTGTCTTCGACGCTCGTCTCGCGTAGACACATCCACTGTACCCGCTGCACCCACTGCGCCTCGAGGCGTCGTCGCGATGCTGCGCCCGCCGACTCGGACCGGCTAATTATCTTTTAGTTCCGCACCGTCGTGGAGTTGCAATTCAATGATCACTCAGCGAACAGACCGTGACCCTTTTCTTCCTTCACCCGCCGCTGCCCCTATGTCCACGAACCAGCTCTGCACACCACCAGGCTCACCGAATTTTCTATCCCTCCCAGCCCAACACAGCACACCAGCTGCAATTTCAGTTTCGATGTGCTGAGTGAGCTACACGTGAGCCCAGCACGTTTTGGCCCTTCCCTGCCCTTCCCATCTACGTTCCTCGACCCTAATTCCGCCGTATCCATCTCATCGCCCCTTATCATCCGGATCCGTCCCACCCGACCCGGGTCCTGTGCGATATTCCACGCGGTTCGGGCGGCCGTGTACTAGCGGCTTGTGCATTCGCACACGGATCCCGGGAAGACCCGCATTGCCGTCTTGTCTGGGGACCCTCAGAGGTCAACGTTGTCGAGACAAATCCCCGAGGAACATTCTGCAAGTCGATCAACTGTCTCCGTTCAACTATCTTCGGTCTCAGTCGGAGCCTGACTGCCATCTCGACAACCGGCGATCGTAGACTGTTGAACGCAGTCGCTCCCAGCCAGGAAATCATCGCGTACTCGGGAGATTTTACCACGTGTACACGAAAGCTTGACCGATGGCCATGGTACGGCGCACGCGTGTGGTCGATGGCGCGCATCTTACGCTGGTTCTTGTTTCATAATACTGTATTCATGTCTAACACCACGGAAATAAATAAATAATCGACCAATCCTATCCCATTATGGATGCATTATCCCTGGACATTCCCTTGGGCACCAGGGGGCAAAGTTCATCTGGATGCCAGGCTGGAACGAGTCTATACTAGACAGACAGACAGTCACTGGCGTTGGTCCGATCTATCTGGATGATTAATGCACTTACTATTAATGGTAGGCTTCACGATGCTCTTCAACGGTTGACTGTATAGGTTCTCGGATTGTGGTGGATTCGGATACTTGGCATATAAAGCGCAATGCTGCGTTGACACACAATGTTACGCGTTACGTAATGTTGAAGATCGAGAATCGCAACTATCACATCCCAATCGCTATCCCACTCTGTACAGGCATCAACATCATGAATAAATATGTCTCGACTAGTATATCGGTTAGTACACGCGCCTGTCATTTGTTAGTCAGGTGGGGTGCGCGCGAAAGCTGGGTTCGACTCCCAGGTCGAGAGCTTTTGGTGCGCATTTTTGCCTGCCTTGCTTTTAAGTTTTTGGGATGTGGATGTAAAAATTGTGGAGAGTAGGGTTACGTGGGTTCAAGTGATGCGAGGAATTCTGGGGTGCATGTAGGTCACTTGGATAAGTTCTTAGAGAGCCATGCTTACCATTGTTTAGACTCTTTGGTATTTTTCTGGCCTCTGCTGGCCATTCAGTGTGGTTTCTTCTGCATGTGTATTTGGATTTTTAAAGCTCAAGTCTCCTACATTTGAATTTGGGAGTGAATCTGTTCTGGGCATGACTGCCCATGTTCTCAAGTAGCAATGGCGGGAGGACCGAGGCTGGATTCTCATGCAGTTTCGTTCAGCAATTTAATGGATAGCTCTCAAATCAGACGAAGTGAATACAATTGCAGTAAGTGAATGATGGAAGCTCACTGTAGTAATCCATGGAGAACTACACTAGAGTTCAGACTTGTTATATCCGTGCAACTCGGAGTTCCATTCGGAGTTCCGATCGGACTTACTTCGGAATTTCCGAGGGGGACTTCTATTCATTGCAAGGGATATTATGCGATGAGGGATTACTAAGCATATCCCTCTTACTCATATCCCCTTACTTCACTCTCGGAGTCTATCCGACATTCACTAAGATGTCATTGTCTTGACAACTTAATTGTCCACGGACTTATACTTACTAATCTTTCACACCTTATTGTCTTTCACTAAACAATTAGCTTACTAGTATTTGAGCTAAGTAGTTTAGCCTCTGTTCTTCAGTTTGATAATTGTATATGTTATTGCGTTCTCCCTTCCCAATGCAACCTGAGTCAGACTTTCCGATCTATCGGATATTCCGTGCCTCCTCCGGCCCTCCTGCATCCTTACTCGTCCTCCTGTTCTTATCTCTGGACTTTGACTCTCCTTGGTCGCAAGCCGGGTAGTTGCACACTCTGTTTGTAGTGCTTGCAAGAACAACCTTCTGACCTTTCGGAAATTCCATGACATCTCCAAACTCTTACCTTCGGACTTTCTCAGCAACTCCGGTTCCCTCAGCTCAGCACTTAACAGGTAGACACAAATAGTTTGTCCCTGTCCAAGACAATATTGAGAGGTAATCTGTTCTTGCAGTACCAATTATTGAAGAATAGTAGCGTGAGGTCCAGAGCCAAGATGTTTGTGTTTGTTGGCACAATTTGGATATCAGAGCCCAAGCGACACATGAACATCACGATACAGTTGAACCTCTGGTTGGGGGGGAGAGGACAAATGAAGTTGATTGCCATGGAGTTGCTGCACTAATCAGGTATGGGGAGTGGATGGAGAGGTCCCACTTTCTTCATAGTATGAGATTTGTTGCGTTGGCAGTTGGCGCAAGAGGGATTGTACACTTCTTCCAGGTCACACTGCATATTTGGCCAGTAATAAGCATCTCAGAGAGACTTGTATGACATCTCGAAACTGAAGTGGCCAACATTATTGTGTGCAAGTTGGAAGAGAGTCTTGTGGAGGTTTCTGACTTGTGGAATGCGCCGACGTACCATAAGCATTCAGGTTTGTGGAAAACAAGCCTGGCGATTCCTCTACTGTATGTACTTGTAGGGGAGCAACAGTCATGGTCACAGACTGGGGCGTTGCATGCTTAAAAGCTTACAGGTCATGGTGTTATATCCGTGCACTTCCGCTCTGGTCTTACTCCACTTCTACGATCTCCGACTTCCCGGTTCTTCTGGATTTGCCTCCAATTCTGGTCTGGATCCGGATTTCCAGAATCATTCAGACCATTCCAGACCATTGCTATACCAGCACATGACACTATCGGAACCCCTGCGAAAATCTCCGACCATTTCCGGACTTCGGACCGAACTTTGTTCAGTCTCCGATGCTGCTCTGAAGCATCTTGGGGTTTTCATGCAATGAAGGTCTACTGAGCATTTCCCCTCAATTTCCTCTCTTCTCTGCAAGTACTCTGGATCCGGTAGTCTGGAACCGTTCAGATCGCTTCGGATCATCGGGTCCTTTATGTCATGACACTTTACAAAGTATTTTCCCGTTTATCCATTTATCCAGAATTCACTTATTCTCTTGAACTTCACTTCACTTCTACTTCTCCATTTGGATAGTGACTTATTGTTACACCTAGGTCACATTACTTATGCTTACTACAACTCTCCTATTGTTTCGGACTAATCCTTCCCAAGCTATTGTTACTCTTATTGTTTCTTCCTTTTCATCCTCGACAATTAGCTTACATGTATATATACCACTTAGGTAGCTCCAGCACCTCAGCTGGAAAATTAATGTTGTTTCCATGTTTCCTTTCATGGACTGAGTCCTTCACTTTCAACCTTGTCCTTGACTCGACTCTGGAGTTATGCCCAAACCTCTGGAGGTCGTCTTCGTACTTTGCCTTTACTTCTGGTCCATTTTCCAGTCCATTTACGGTTCACCTCGTTCTTCTTCATCCTTTGCCTTTACCTCCATTCGACCTCCAGTTCACCTCTGGTCATCCCTCTGGTCGTCCCTCCAGCTCCCATGCCACTCTGACGGAACTCCAGTTTCCTCCAGTTTATCCAGGAACCTGCCCCTCGTTCCTGGGCAAGGCATCAATCTTGTTGCCTTTTCCAGAGTAGCTCTACTCAGATCAGACTTCCGAGTCATGGAGTGTTTCTGTTCTAGTCCTGGCTTGACAGCCAGTCGCACACCCTTCTGAGCTGTGGTGTTTGCGAGAACAGCCAAATCTTTGCCTCCAGTCCTGTTCCGGTTTCCGGACGTCTTCCAGATCTGGACTCCAGCCAGACTTCTTGTCCCCCATCTGGCTCAGGATATAACACACAGTCATGATGAGGCCCGTTGCCTTAAAAATATTGTGACATCTGTGAATAAAGCTTGGAAAAAATTCTCAGCTAAGATACATCCATTACAGCTATTTGCGGAACTTAGGGCATGGCCAAAATTTTTCCTTTTGGTAAGTTTTTGATCTCTTTCACTAATTCCCTTGTAACATCCTCAAATCTTCTCTGTTTCGCTCAAAACTTGGATCATTCGATTTTTAATGAAATTCTACAGTGCATAGGCACCATGTACCGTTTAATAGACTGCTTGGCTCTATTTATTGATGAATTGTAGTAATTTGGCATATATACCTTCTAACAACGGAAAGAGGACATCTGGAACCCCCAGATTTCAGGATAATCATCTTTCACATATTCTATAGTGCCTAGGGTAGTCATTTCGGCAACTGGTGAGGGGAAAACAGATGTATTGGTCCAAGAACATGTTGCTGTATTTGTGCCCATGAAATGAACATGAGTTTAATCATACTTGGCAAAATCAAAGGCATGGCACACTGTATTATGAGTGTGAGATCATTATATCTAAAATCCATAGCCCCTGGATAAGATCTGCTTTTTGCAGAGGGGTTATATCTGAAAACACAGCAGCTTACCAATCTGATGGTTGGAGGGAGCTTATAAGTATTTGAGGGATCCTATGCAACATATAATTTCGATAAAAATCGAATGGTTTATGTTTCGAGAGAAACGGACAAGATTTGAGGCCGCCAGGGGGGCATTATTGAAAGAGATCAAAAACTTACCAAAAAGGAAAAAAATTGGTCGCACCCTAAGTTCTGCAAATAGCTGTAAATCCCTGGGATGCCCCAAATTGAGTTCATTGAGTGACAGAACTCCTCACAGAATGCCAATTTTATGGCCAAAAGAATATTCCTGGTTGCCATTTCTGGCAACAGCCCTGGTCGTGGAGGCAGCTGTTGCCTGAAAAAGAGGCAATGGGGGTGTCACAGTGCCTTGGGGCATTGCTCCCCTACAAGTACGTACAGTACTTGAGGACTTGAGCTTCTGGCACCACGAGTCTGGCCTGGATGCCTTCGAGTATTTTTACATCTGTGGAGATCTTCAAGATCGCCACCAGAGGCTGTGCATCTGGGGGAAGTTTAGGTTCCAAGATTCTTGTTGCTGCCATACTGTTATATACCGAGCCGAAGGAAGGACAAGATGAAAGACTCCGGAACTGGAACCGGGAATCGGAGGATCGGAACTTCCAGAAAGTATATGGAGAGATGATGCAAGCACCACAGGACAGTAGGATGTGCGTACTACTGAGGCCGGTGAGGGAAGGAAGACCGGGGAATTAACCGGAGGACGACTCAGTGCAAAGCGGAGAGCAAAGCAACATTAATTATCAAACTGAAGTACATGGCATATGTTAGGGGTTTATATAGCTAAGTCTTAATTGTATTCCTAAAAAGGTGCGAGTCAGGTGACCTGTCAGACATAACAATAATACGAGTCCCAAAGAGGATGGAGAAGTGATGTCGGAGAAATTGACAATAAGAACATGGATTATAAAGATGGATAAATGGGAAACACTCAGTAATCCTTCATTGCGTAAAAAACCCGATGATCCACAATGGGTCTGAAGATGATCCATCCGGTTCCGGGCTCCGGTACTGGACATGGACCGGAAAGTCAAGGACCGAGAAAGCATGGATATAACAGTATCCCCCTCTTGCATTCCTTGCCCTCAAGGAACAGAGATGGAATTGCGGCGTCCAATGAATAATAGTTCTGGAAATGGACGGAATGAAGTCTTCCAAAACCGGAAAGGTTCTAGAAGGTCACGTGCTGTTGATATTGCACAACCGCAGTCGTGGTGTGACTCATAACTTCTTTCTTCCACTCCACCACCACCACATTTCTCAAATCCCCCCCTACGCACCCGGATTCAACCCCAACGACGGTGGCGATGACCATGAAGGCTCCAACGGCAACCGGAAGGGAAAGAGGAGAGCCACGTCCGGAGAGCTGGAGGATGACCAGCGTGAACAAAAGTACCAGAGGAGGGAGCAGCGAACTCAGGAGCACCTGGAGCATCTCCGGGTCGAGTTGGAGGAGGCCGCGGTGGCTCGGGCCGAGATGGAGGTGAGGGAGGCCCGGATCCGCCAGGAGTTGGAGGGTATGGACCAGGAGGATGCAGAGGATGAGGACGAGGAG